CTTTTTACCATTTTTAACCTTATCTAATTGGAAACTTCAACTCTAATTAGTGTAAAAAAAGTGTAAATTACAGTTGACAAATCAATGTTTACGTGCATACACTGTTTTTACCAAAAAAGCTCCACCCTAAATGATATCTATTAAAGGTTACTACTAAATTATTTTTCAAACAAAGCATGTTTTGACAGTTGTCAAGACAAAAATAAAGATTAATAGAGGAATATTTAAAAATAAATAAGACAGACAATGCACCTAAACAGTACTTAAAATAATAATAATAATAGTAATAATAAAATTATTTTATAACACTAATATGAACGAAGATATACAACAGATATATCACCAAACAAAAACTTATACAACAAAAAATTGATTACAAAATAAAAAATATGCATAAAACAATGTAAGGCCTCGGAATGGAAAAGAAACATTGCTGCTAACGTGTAAACATAATTTGTGTAGTGATTAAGTAATAAACATCTCCTCAGGGTTGTGTCTATTATTACTGACGTTTCAATGAAAATCAGCATTTATAACTAGTTTATCCCGTCAGAAATACGTCATCACCACTTATGCTTTACCCCGAGACTTACGCCTATTCCATACCGCAGTAAAAAAGGACTCACTACAAATAGCCAAAACCCAACCATCCCCAATTTGTAAAGTACCATTATTCTTTTAATGATATGATATTAAAAGTGTTGATCTACTAAACAAACAAAAATAAAAATAACTAAATAAATCACTTACCATACTACCAAAAGAAAACATGAAAACACAATAAATTAAAATTCTAATAGAAACACAAAAATGATAAATTTATTTTAAGACATAAAAAACCAAATAGGTACTTTTAGCATAAACAAACCCAAGACAATCAGAAAACAGTATATCTCATTTATTATATATTTATAATATTTATAATATATACACAATAAGTTATAAGTAACTTAAAACTTTTTGTTTTTAAATTTAAGAAAATTTAAATTTTTGGTTTAAATTTTTTAAATTTAAAAGATATGATAGCAACACATTAAGAATAATATTTTATATATAAAAAAGATTTTTTTTGGCCATCACATTAAATCATACTTTGATTTATATGTTGTTTTTTATCCTAATTTTTGGTTTTTCTTAGAATTTTCATTTTGGAATATTTTTTATATGTTACGGATTGTAAACTACTTTTTAATTGGGGCGCCTAAATATAACAAATTATTGCGATCTTATTGTTCCAACTTTTGATTTAGTTATCAATTTTGTACACTGTATATATGTACACTGTATTTTAGAGTGGGTCATACTTTTAAAACTTTGGATATGGGAGCGCGCGCAATATTTTTTTATGTATTAGGATATTAAAAGTAAATAATTTTTTTTTTTTTTGAATTCATCTAGTGTGGGCGCAGGGCGTTTGAAAAATACCAATTTTACGAAAACCTATCATATTGTCATTTTTCAGCCTTTTTAATATTAGCCAAAGGTAAGAAAATTATCAAAAAACAATCAGACATAATATAGACATAAAAATAAAACATAATTATTCGGTGCTACTTTTCTTAATGCTATACAAACACGGTAGACGTAAGAAAAGTTGTCTACCATTATGGATTTTACAAAAAAATATCAATATATGAATATCAGAAATGGGATTGCGCGCAAAATTTTTTTTATGTATTAGGATATTAGAAATGACGTTTAAAAAATGTCAGTTTTACGAAAAACTCAAAAAAAAAATTAGTATAACAAACTTATTACTGTTATTTTTAATGTGCATAATGCTACTAGTATAAAATGAGGTGAATCATAAAAGATAGTCGTCAAAGTTTGTGGGCTAGGGGCTTATATCCCCTTTCCATTATTATTAAAAACCATAAAAATTGGTCAAAAACAGGAAATGGTGTATCATTTTTTATTTGTTATAATGTTCCAATAGTTTATTTGTAGGATAATTACTAAGATAATAAGATAATCATCCTAAATATTGTATTAAAAATGATGTAATTAACGAATTTATAATATATATATAAAGGTAATCTTTTTACCTACTACAAAAAGCTATTAATATTTCTAAATAAACATAACAACAATTTCATCGCAATAAATGGCTAAATCTACTCGACTCAAATAATATTAGAATGCCCTTACTTGAGTTGAAAAGAATCAGACTCTAAAATACCTGGAGCAAATAGTGAGGAGATGAGGTAAATGCTAAAGTATTAAAAATATTTTCGTCAATTTTTGTTTAAACTGTGAATTAAAAAATTAAGTATAAATTATTTTCATTAAAATTATTTAACATAACTTATTTTCTCCTTTAGAGGTAGAATTTCAAACAACAGACGATTCGGACATTGGCAACGAAAAAGCAAATAATACAGAAAAAACTGAGTTTAGTTTGAAAAAAAATTACTTAGGTATAACCAGGATTTCTCAAGCAGCTATTAGGTATGGGGTATCTAACAGAGCTGCAGCAGCCATAGCTACTTTAGCTTCTGCAAAAGATACAAATTTTTTAAAGAAAAATATGTTATTTTCGTTAATCTCAAGAAAATAAAACAAAGTAAGACTAAGTTAATGAAAGAAATCCGAAGTAGAGCTGAAAAAGTAGCAATGAATGATAATATTGAATGTACATTTTTTGATGGACGAAAAGATTTAATTAAGTATATGAGAGAAGAAGAAGATGGAAAACTACATCTATCAGAAAAAAAAGAAGAACATTATTCAATTTGTTCTGAACCAGGAGGAAAATACCAATTTTATTTCAAAACTAATGTGGATAATTTGTGGTCTTCATACAAATGAACTACCTTTCCGACATCTTATGATTCAGCTTGAAGGAAAAACTGCATCTAAAAATAACTTTTCTGGAAAACTTATAGGTAAGACAACTATCTTCAAAGTCAAAAACTGTATAATAAAAATTGAATTTCCTAATGCAATAATAGAACTTGACTCTGAAGTTGTTCAGATGATCAAAAGTATCATTATCAAATTTTCCATGCAATTAAAATTGGGATTTTTCCGGTAAATTTTAAAGTAAAAGAAATTGAACCACATTCGCATGCAAGATGGTTGAATTTCGCAAATAGAATATGTTTACTTTGGTGCTCCGAAATTGTACTTTCAGTTGAAAAACATATAATCTTCAACTTCTGGTGGAGTTTGTTGTTGGAGTTTATACGTCACTTTGGTTTAAAATCAAAGTAAAGTGGAAGTGGACTGAAAGGCCTAACTATATACTCAAGCAATTAAAACGTCTTTGTCATCAAAGACTTAAAGTTAAAGACATTGTAATGTCCCATGTTTTATCTTCTTCATGGAATGGTCATAGTGAAAATGTTTTTCAAACATTGTTATGTAGCCTAGAAAAAACAGGAAAACAATTTACAGTTAAAACAATTTTAAAATTAAGAGGAGATTCAGAATACGGAAACACTAATGTAAGAACTAGAAAACATCATATGCATAATGAAAATGCTGAATTGCAAATTGATCTAATTAATTCGAGTTCGGATGTACACTAACCTTTACTTACATGTTTATTGTCAAAGGATGAACTTTTAAAATACAATGATATTCCGATGTATATACCTTGTTTTCCTGTTAATGGGAAAGCTATTAAACAATGTGTCCGAGAAGTCGCAAGAGATTCTCAATCGGTATTTGGAAAAGATAGAAGAGGTGGGTTCATCAGAGCAACATTAGCACATCGAGAAATCATGCCCGTAAACCAATCAAAAAAAGATCTATTTAAATTAATTTAAGCAATATAAATTTTTTTGTTGTTTTGCTTTGGATTTTATTTATGATCTGAATAAATAAGTTGAGCTTTAAATGTATTGTATTTTTTAGATGACATTTTATTTATGACCAATGAATTTTTATTCCTTCAGAAAGTTTGTGAATTATTGTAGGAATATTATTTAATTATTGTAGGAATATTATTTTTTTATATTGTATTTGTATCTTATTTATTATCTATAGAGCAAATAAATTTTTTTTCTCTTCTAATATTCTAAAGCAAACGTTTTCGTATAACTTTATGAAGAGTAGAACTCAAAATTATGTTTTATTTTAATGTCTAAATTATGCCTAGTTGTTTTTTGATGATTGCATTACCATAAGCTTATGAAAAATGAGCAGAAAAGTGCTAATTTGATGCATTTTCAATAAAACTGTCATTTTTTAAACGCCTTGCGCCCTCACAAAATACACTTTTTAGGAAAAAAAAATTATTCACGTTTGTTCCAATATCCTACTACATAAAAAAAATTTTGCGCGCAATCCCATTTCTGATATTTATATATTGATATTTTTTTGTAAAATCCATAATGGTAGACAACTTTTGTTACGTCTACCGTGTTTGTATAGCATTAAGAAAAGTAGCACCAAATATTATGTTTTATTTTTATGTCTATATTATGTCTGATTGTTTTTTGATAACTTTCTTACCTTTGGCTAATATAAAAAAGGCTGAAAAATGCCAATATGATAAGTTTTTCGTAAAACTGACATTTTTCAAACGCCCTGCGCCCGCACTAAATAAACTTTTTAAGAAAAAAAAATTATTCACGTCTCTTCTAATATCCTAATACATAAAAAAAATATGGTGCGCACTCCCATATCCAAAATTTTAAAAGTACGACCCACCCTTCTGTATATATTCTAAAATAGTGAAATAAACTAAACTAATGGACCGGACAGGAAAGAGGACAAGTTTGTTAAAAACCTGCCTCTAACAGTAGAAACAATAATGTAAACAATGCGATATATTACAACTAGACTTTTGTAAAGCTTTCAAATTTTTAAATGGGTTTGTGTGAATAAAATATTAAAAATAAGAATCTGTATACTATATTGATATACTATTTTTCTTAAGTTAACAACACACCAAGTTAATCCTTATTTTAAACATGTTGTGACGCAAATGCAGTAGTTATGGACTTATTTTTAACTCATGAGCATTTGTTTTTTTGTTGTTTTTTTTATTCAGTACAACAAGTTTTGCTCATTTAAAGAGTTAGTATCTGTAATTTCTTCAAAAACAGAAACAAAAACTTAATTGCTCGAGCAGTCGATAAATATACTGATTCAAGCAGATCTTGATACAAATGAACTGTTTTGATCTTTCAAATTGCGTTAAACATTTATATAAACGAGGATTTCTGTTGTGAAACAACCCAAATCAGGAAAGTTTTGAGGAAAAAAATGATAATCGAACGAGCGGCTGGTAAGTTTGCATACATATCTTATGATAAATTGAAAGTTATTGATTGGGTTGCAAATAAAAGAAAAATTAATCTATAAAACCTTTGTCATTAATTAACTTGGTAACGTCGACCACCGAGTAAAACCACCCAGTGGTTGACATTTTTATTTTAGTTTTGTCGAATAATGGAAAACAGAAAAAATATCTTCCAGTTTTCGACACCCCTTCAACTCCCTTTTCATTGCTTTGATTTTAAAGTTTTGAACTTTTATCTTATCTATTTCCCTGTCAGTATAAAAAAGAAAAAAATTCAATTACATTACAATTGTCGTGGTTATCTAAAAACAGTTGTGAAAATTATTCCTAAGAGTTAAGGGTATTTACGGAACTTTTATTGCACCAATTCATCGTATGCGCTTATTTTTTTATGTTTACGATAGCCAAACTTCCTTCATATATAATAAAAAGATTATTTCAGACACTATTTTGGCACTTTCCTTCGGTTAGTGTTAGCTCAGCATATTTTTTAGTGACAAAACGTCGACAACTCTAGGGGTCGTCGACCCCTAGAGTCTAGAGTAGAGACCCCTAGGGTGGTTTACCCTAATTTTATTTTTACTATTACTTATTTTTTATCTTATTATAACATTTATATTATTGTTATAATTATTATAGCTTTATTATAATTATTATATTATATTACTTAGTATTTATTAGATTTTACTATCACATAATAAACCGTTTAAAAAATGGAGGAAAATTTCATAATTAAAATTTCAGATGAAAAATCTCGGTGATAATGATATTGACGCAAATTATTTTAATCACAAATTGTTAGAAATCACAAATTGTTAGAAGGTTAGTTAGGAGGTTAGAAGGTAAATATTACTCAGTTTCTGAATCTTCGCAACATCTTAGAAAAAATAAAAATACTTTTGCAATTTTAAATATCAATAAAACTTTGAAAATTTAAAAATATTAATAAATGAATTTAAACACGATTTTATAATAAAGTCTGCGGAAACTTGGTGTAAATGCGGTGAAACAAATTATGAATTTGAACTAATTATTTACACGTCAATTCAACAACCACGTGAATTAATGCTGGTGGAGAGTGTTAACGATGTTTGTGTTAATGAAACAGAATGTGAATCATTAGTAAATAACTCTGAAAAAACATAATAATAAATAGCTGAAAAAATATATAATAATAAACTCTGAAAAAACATAATAATAAATAGCTTTTGCAGAAGCTAAAGTAGCTATGGCTGCTGCAGCTCTGTTAGATTATCATGTTTTTATATATGTTTTTATATATGTTTATATATATATATATATATATATATATATATATATATATATATATATATATATATATATATATATATATATATATATATATATATATGTATATATATATATATATATATATATATATATATATATATATATATATATATATATATATATATATATATATATATATATATATATATAATATTATGTTAACCCAGCACCACTAAAATATAAAATATAAAAAGGTTTAAAGCTCATTTTTAATCATTTCTTAAAAAAATTATAAATTGGACAAATTTAATTGGTCGGGGATTTTAACATCAACCTGATCCATACTTCAAATAATAATGCTTAGAATTTTATAAATACTCTTCTAGAAAGTAACTTTATCCCAGCAATAGACAAATCAACAAGAGTTAAAAAAAGTCAAAAAAAATCTACCCTACTTAACATATAACATCATAGCTAACAATTTTTATAATCTTTATAGTCCTCTTAACAATATATTGGAATATTTGGTGCATCGGCCTAGCTTCTAACCGAACATTCGGTATTCGGCAAAACCATTATCCATGATATTTCTTGTTATAATAGTACATGCTTTTGTTTTTAAACGAATAAACAAAAATAAAAGATTGGAAAATTAAATCGAATGAAAATTTAAAAGCATTTAAAGATTTTTACTCGACTAAATCAACTTTTATTCAATTAGTAGAAAGTCTATAATCGGTTAAATCAATTGTTTGTTTTTTCTAATATCAAAATAATCAATTATTTGTTTTTAGTCGACTAAATCCGACTTTAAGTCAAGTTAGTCGAAGTTGATGACATAAGTAACAAACTTTCGTAAGTAACAAACTTTCACTGTGTATAAAACAATATATACAGTATTGGACAAAACAAGTGCAACCAAATAAACAGTTGCATAGTTATGTCTCTAAACAGTTACATAGTTATTTCTATAAACTTTCAATTTAGAGAAATAACTATGTAACTGTTTAGAGACAACGTTCTTCAAGTTTTCTTCATCACAAAGTTCATTATTTGTACACGAAAATTAATAAATTAATCAAGAAAGTTGATTTCCTTTTGGACAAAACAAATGCAACTCCACAAAATGTTGACGAAGCTGTATTTCGCTATCAATATTTCGTGGCGAATCCTTTGTCGTTGATCACAGCATTGCATCTTCAAGGCATAGATTCGATCAGGGGATCAATGAAACTTTGTGGAATTGCTGCCCAGGCTTTTTGGATTTGTTCAAACAGTTGATCCTTATTACTAACACCTTCACGATTAATTCTGCGGTTGACGATCTCCCACAGGTTCTCGATAGGGTTGAGATCCGGAGATTGAGGCGGCCAATCTATCACTGAGAGGTGGTTGTCTTGAAACCACTGCTTGACTACTTTTGCAGTGTGTTTCGGATTGTTGTCTTGCTGAAAAACCTATTTTATTGGCATATTCCATTCAGCATGAGGTAACATAACACCTTTCAGGATGTTTTTATTCATGAAATGGTATATTATTCCATCGGTTCGATGTACTTAGAGCTAGACCGTTAGTAGAAAAACACCCCCAGACCATTACATTGCCTCCACCATGCTTCACGCTCTTATGGTAATAACGTAAATCGAGGCGTTTTCCGGCCGGTTGACGTACACGGCAAATACCATCGCTCTCAATGATTTTGAACTTCGATTCATCACTGAACAGAACAGTTTGCCATTTCTGCACATTCCAGTCAATATGAGATGTGGAAAACAGGAGTCTTTTCTTCTGGTTCTTTAGTGAAATCAGCGGTTTCTTTGCAGGGCGAAAAAACAATCCGGCTTTAACAGCACGTCGTCTGATTGTTCGGTCCAATACAGGCAGCTCTAATTGCTTTTGTATCTCGACTGATGATATCCAGGGATCCTTCTTGACGGATCTGACGATCATAGAATCCTCTCTAGAAGTGGTGGAAAGCTGTCTTCCACCTTTGTTATCTGCTGCCAACTTCCCCGTAGAACAATATTTGGAACATAGTTTGATACGGTCCATTTTTTCACGCGATATTTATCACAAATACTTTTTTGTGACATTCCACTTACGTAATCGCCAATAATTTTCTTTCTTAGTTCCTATTACTTGGGATGATACAATAATGCTCTTTGGAATATAACGTCTTGGTTGGATGTGATGTATTGATGTAATGAAACGCTTGTTGTATTTCACTTCTTGTATTGATGTTCTTTGATAAAACACTTTGATAAAACTCATTTCGATAAACTGTCTTGATAATACTGACTGATTGACTTCCATATACTGACTGAATTACATGTCGGTTTACATGTCTCTTATATAGTAAAATGAACCTGTGTGAACCTTTTCTGGAAGATTCTAGATGCTTCTTTTTGATGCTTCTGGAAGCTTCTGGATGCGTCTGAATGCTTATGAATGTTTCTGGATACTTCTAGATGCTTCCAGATGCTTCTTCTGGAAACTTCTGGAAGCTTCTGCATGCTTCTGGAAACTTCTGAATACTTTCTTTAATTATTAAAAAACTTCCGTGACGTTGACACGGACCAGACTTTAAAAAATGAAACAAGCCAAAAAAGTTGCCCTTGTTTTGTCTGCTGCGAAATGGCACTTGTCAACGAAATTCTGCCTGTATGCTGTCACCTGTCTGCTGATTGCTCATGTCATGGCATGACTCCAGACTCCTGAACTATTTGCTGTGGAAGTATAGTTCGTTTCGTTTTTAAGACATGTAAAATTAGGAACGCTTTTTAGCATTGTTCGATGTTGGTTGCAAATGTTTTGTCCAATACTGTATATTTTTCTATTAATTTGTTAATTTTTTTGAACCTGAGTCTTCATCATCTTAACAATCAGAATCGATGATCCATCACCAATACTAGCACCAGGTACTACACTACCTCAGCCACTGCCCTCTGAATCTACAACACCTAGCATCAGCATTAGGGTGGTTCAAAAATCAACTCTTTTAAAAATGGTCTCCTGCTCTTAACTAAATGTGTTCTATATAATACAAAAACACTAGGTTTAAAGTTTTTTTGAATAAAAAATATTTTTAGGGGTGCCTCAAGACCCTTAAATATTTGACAGGTCCCTAATGTTTTGAAAAAAAAAGTTTTTTTAAAGTATGTCAACCTGGTACTCAAAAGAAGCGAAATTATATAAAAACATCAAAAATAGTGATCAATTTACATTAAGATATTTTTTTAAAATATAATTGCTTAAAAACTATTGTTTTTAAGGTGATAATAAAAAAAGTCAATATTTTCAAGTTTTTTCAAAATAATTTATTAAAACATGTTTTTATGTAAATTTTTAAAACATGTTTTTATGTAAATTTGTAAAACATGTTTTTATGTAAATTAATTATTATTTTTCAAGTTTTTATATAATTTCGCATCTTTTGAGTACCAGGTTGACATACTTTAGAAAAACTATTTTTTTCAAAATATTAGGGACCCATCAAATTTTTAAGAGTCATGAGGCACCCCTAAAAATATTTTTTGTTCAAAAAAATTTTAAACCTAAGATTTTTGCATTATATAGAATACATTTAGTTAAGAGCAGCAGACTATTTTAAAAAAAGCTGTTTTTTGAACCACCCTAATCAGCATATGTCACATAGAATTAGCTCCAAAGTCACCTCAAAAGTCACCCTGTCTGCAAACAACCTTCAATATTGTAGTAAATCATTCTCCAACTAT